TTACACCCCAATGGCAATGACTAAGATTCTCATTTCTTCACGTCCTCATAAACTCCCGTCTCTGGATGTCTTTGATAACGGCCGTCTTTCCAGGTGTGAGCTGACACTTCTCTGGTTTCTGTTTGCATCTTCCTGTCATTAGTGGAGTTTAACTCTTCTCCATATCCCCGTGGGCCATTTGTAGGTTGCTACAGTGTGAATGTGGTTTGTCCCTCCAACACTCATAAGAAATAGATTGGCATCGGGAGGCAGGGCCTTGTGGGAGATGCTGGGCTATGGGGGTGGGAATGGATTAATGTCTCTCTTGGGAAGTAGATTGGCTCTCATAGGATTCTGTTCCCACTTGCAGACTGTGTATCTAGCTAGGAGGTTTAGTAGGCCAGATAGACTCAATGCGTTTTTGACTTACAATGTTTTCAACCCAGTCTGGGTTACTGGGCAAAAACCTCATGTCAGTAAAGGAGTGTCTCGAAGGGAACACGTCAGCTGATTTGGGTGGTCAGGTCCTCCGTGTGTTCTCCCCCTCTTCTACTGTAATCTGCTTTAGTTTTACTTCTGTTTTTGAGACAAGAGTTCACTGCATGGCCCACGCTTGCCTTAAGCTCACAACTCCCCCGTCTTAGCCTTGCTGGTATTCCTGGTATGAGCCAGCATGATGGTTGGCTTCAACTCAGACTTCTCTTTCAGAGGTTTCCTGAGATGTCTGGGAAGTCTTGGACTCTTGAGACAAGATCTTGCTAAGTAGCCCTGACTGACCTGGTACCCATTATGTTCCCCAGGCTCACTTTAAACTTACAGCAAACCTCCTGTCTCAGCCTCTCAAGTCCTAGGATTATAGGCATGAAACCCCAACTGGAACCTTTGCCTCTAAGGCTCAGACGAGTCATGCTGCTCCAGCCTTCACTGAGCATCCCTCCCTCCCCCATCTCTTTTTTTTTCCCTTCTGTGTTCCTGGTGAACAGGCTTCTGAACTTCCGAATTCTTCCACTCAATCATTTCTCATGTCTTGGTAACTCCACAGGGCAATCTAGGTGATTCGAGACCGTTCCACCATCCAATCCAGCCGTGACCCTTGGCTCTTCACATAAATTAATCGTGTGTGTGTGTGTGTGTGTGTGTGTGTGATATATAGAGATCAGATGTTTACATTATTTTTAGTAATCACATCTTTAATTCCCAGGATGTCTAGATCTTTTCAGACTACTCTCTGTATGTAACCATAGCTGCAGGAACGCCCAGGTCTGTCTGCTGTGCTAGCTGTTTTTCCAGGTATTCATGCTTTCTGTGTAGCCGAGTGGCTTTTCTCCCATGATATCTGTGTTCCTCAGATGATGGGCTTGCCATGTTTGTGAGTTTACACTGGCATCTGGGGTGAATTCTTTGTTAGCCCCAGGGGCCTCCTCAGAAGATGAGAGAGGGAGGGAGACTTGTAGCTACGATTCAGGCAGGCGAGGTGTTCGGCTCGTTTTCTTTTCCAGTTGCCCTTTCAGATGCAACAAACAATTATCTTTTCTTTCACAGTACACCCCACTTCCTCCTTACCAAACCGCAAGCTGTTTTTCAGCTTCTGGCTGGCTCTAAGCCACCGTTTCCTGACCCCACTTCCTCCTTAGTCACACAGAAAGAAAATAATAAATAAAACTTATGCTTTAATTGTTTTTTTTCTCATCTTAACGTTAACAACTGGATCTTGTGGCCAGGCCTCAATCAATAAGGTACAGTTCAGCTTCCCTTTTGCTTCAGGGACAAAAACCAGAAGGACGTCCCCGTCCCTGTGCTTAGGCTACCACTTTTTCAGGTGGGTAACAAACAACTCTTGTGCAAAAAGTAAGGACACAGATAAGACACTTTAATTATTGTCTTAGTCGGGGTTTTACTGCTGTGAATGGACACCATGACCAAGGCAGCTCTTATAAGGAGAACATTTAATTGGGGCTGGCTTATAGGTTCAGAGGTTCAGTTCATTATCATCAAGGAGGGAGCAGGGCAGCATCCAGGCAGGTATGGTTGCAGGCAGTGCTGAGAGTTCTACATCTTCATCTGAAGGCTGCTAGTGGAAGACTGATTTCCAGGCAGCAAGAGTGAGGGTCTTATAGCCCATACCCACTCCAACAAGGCCACACCCACTCTAACAGGGCCACACCTTCTAATAGCACCACTCCCTGGGTCGAGCATATACAAAGCATAACAATTATGATGGTGGGGGCTGGTGAGATGGCTCAGTGGTTAAGAGCACTGACTGCTCTTCCAGAGGTCATGAGTTCAAATCCCAGCAACCACATGGTGGCTAACAACCATCTGTAATGATATCTGATGCCCTCTTGTGGGGTGTCTGAAGACAGCTACAGTGTACTTACATATAATAAATAAAAAAAAAAAATTATGATGGTGTTCTCTTTGTTTGTGACCTCAGAACTATTCCTAACCACCTTGTGACAAAATATCCCAACCAAAGCAACTTAGGGAAGTGAGGGTTTATTTTAGCCTACAGTTCCAGTCCATCATTTCCAGGAAGTCAGAGCTTGAGACAGCTGGTCAAAGTGTGCCCATTGTGTGGAAGAGACCACTGAATGCATGCCTGTGCCCTGGGCTCTCTCTCCCTTTCAGTCTAGAGCAGCGTTTCTCAACAGGGATCATATATCAGTTGTCCTACGTATCAGATATTTACATTACGGATTCATAACAGTAGCAAAATCCTTGTAGTTATGAATTAGGAATGAAAAAATGTTATAGTTGGGGGTCACCATAACATAAGGAACTGTATTAAAGAGAGAGTCACAGCATTAGGAAGGTTGAGAAGCATTGATCTAGAGGCCTAGCTCATGAAATGGTGCCAGCCACATTCAAGGTGGGTTTACAACTCAATTAACCCAATCAGGAAATTCCTCACCAGCATCTCCAAAGGCCAACCTGCAGTAGACACTCCCTTACTGACTCTCTGTTTCCAGGTGATTCCAGATTGGGCAATGATGACTGAAACCAATCACCGAAGTGGTTGCTGGGTGAAGGAAGCCACACACAGCTTCTGGATACAGAGGCTTCCTGCCCTGAACTGCAATCAGGCTGATAGCTTTGCCTTGCTTCTCTGGTCCAAGTTCCCTGCTCCTGCCCTTAGGCAGACCCTTCCGTGACTCACTGTTTAGCTGGAGGTTCATATCTCTGTAGTCCTCTAGCTACAAGTTTATAAAACTAGGTATAAAGAGTTCTTCAAATGGCTTGCCATGGACAGGAACCCTCATCCATAGTCGCCAAACTCTCGGCTTCTGTCGGTTGATGTAGGTGGGGTCAGTGCTCTGTCATGAGACCTTTTTTTTTTTTTTTTTTTTTTTTTGACCTTTTTTTTCTAATACTTCACCTGGCAAGGACTCAGCTCCTGGCCTTCCCCTTCATACCAGTTAATCAGTCTTGTTGCACTGTGAGGTTGACCTCCCACAAATAGAACGAAACATAGCCACCACCTATGTCAGGGATAAAGGGTTTTGGTTCCCCAGTCTCATTTTAAACAGTATAAACTGATTACGTTTGACAAATATGCTGGGGATAGGGGTTCCTACATACAAAAGCCCCAAGTTGGGGCTTCTTTGACATTAATACCTGCCTCCCACCAGTGTCAGAGCCTCCTGAAGTCCTCAGAACTCAGCTGGAAGGGCAAAGTCTGGCTAAGGCTCAGAGCTGGGAGTGTTGACCGAATCTCTGCCATGTTCGGTGACTAGAGCCCATGGACCTGCCAGAGCCCCATCCAGTCCTTACCGTGAGACCAGTGTGGTTAGGGCTGTGGGAAAGTTGAGCATGCCAGGAAATTTGGTAAGGAGTGGGTCTGAGACCCCCACACTCAGGTACACCACTGAGACAGTAGGCGCCTTCCTGTTCCCTACTAGATTCCTGGCTGGTAACACATGCCACACTCCCCACAATGGTGGCCCGAACAGAGTTCTCCATGCTAGTGAGGTACCTAGAGGCCCTGAGGGCTGAGCCAATAAGCTTCCTTTTCCAGACATTTTTCCTTGCAAAAGGTATTTAATTTCAGGTCCACCCTGAGGAGTTGGTATGCTCCCATTTTCCACTATGAACAGTCAATAAACCATATAGATAAACACAGACTGTTTCTTCCATCAGAACCGCAGTGGGGAACATGGCGAAGGCCTTCCCCTACAGAGCGGTAGCCTAAGCCTCCCATAGACGGCCTCTCTGCTCCTCCAAACAACATCTGCCAAGCTAAGGACAATCACCGAGGAGCTAACCTGGAGTTCTCATCCCTCCCACCTGGCCCCGGGCCACGGGACACCAACTGTGCTCTCAACTCCTCATGACTCAGCAATGCCTGGATGTCCACAAGTTTGGAGTATTTGGTCCCGGCCTCCTTCTGGGCTCATGGACCCACTGATCCTTTGTTCCCGACTCCTCTGTGCAGTACCCCAGCAACAACTGGACCCCTGGAAGTTACGGAACCCCAACTTCTCACCCCCCCCATCATAGACTGAATTCTTCCACCCCATGAGCGGCCTAATAAGTGGTGTCTTGGTGCTTCCCTAGAGCCCAGCACTCAACAGTTGTACAAGGAGACGAAGTCAAGCACCAGAGGCGTGCAGACCCACAAGGGACAGGGCAGGATAGCATGTCCCCAAATGCCGTAAAAGTTTAAACATTTCAGAGTGTCACTTCCTCCCACTGAGTACAGTGAAGGAGACGTCATTACAAAAACCAAACTTTATTTTGCTATCTCACAAGTCAGCAAGGAGATAACCGTGGTGTAAGTCCCTGCTTCTGGTACTTTTGCCAGACACAAACAGATTCCTTCATGTCCTCAGCTGTAGCACGGGGGCTCAGGCTGGTCCTGCCATGCTGGGGACTCGGGGGCTCAGGCTGCCCCTGCCATGCTGGGGACTTCCCAAAGTGGCCAGAGAGATTTCTCTGTGCCATATCAGCCTCTACAGAACTTCTGGCTGGGGAAAGGTTCACTGAGCCTGCCTCGTGGCTAACAAGGCTTGCTAATGCAAGACCAGGCGTGGTGGCCCTTGACTGGGCTTGCTGACCAACATCCAGACAGAGGTTTTTCCTTTTGCAGGGGCCTGCCTCAGAGCCAGGTCCCATCTGTCACACACTCCAAGAAGCCATCTTCTCAAGAGCCTTCCCCAGTCTTCAGTGAAGGCACTACAGCCACCTCCTCGATCTGCCAGCGACACATGGGGCACCTGGCCGTGTCTTTGAAGATGTGCCAGGCACAGGAGCCACAGAACTGTGAGTGGCCACAGGGCATGAGGCGGGTGTTGGCTGTGTTGTGGAAACAGATGACACACTCCTCTCCTGATGTGACTGGAAAACAAGAAAGCACAGGTCAGAGGTATACATGGAGGGTAGGCCACCTATCTCTTACCACAGGACATGAAAGCTCAGTGTCCCGAGGAACAGGACTCTCTGTGAGAATCCACTCAATGCAGTTGCATGAAAACCTACAAAATACCCACAGCCCCTTATCTAGGCTATTGCTTCCCAGTTTCGGCCACCTGTGGTCTGAAACTATCAAATGGAAAGATCTAGAAAAAAAAGACATGAGTAGTAAATAATTGTTATTACTGTATGCTGCCAGTTCTATTTTATTACTAGTTATTATTGCTGACCTGTTCCTATGATGAATTTATAAATCCAAGTTGAGCATAAACAACTGCTCACAGGGTACTAGGAGCTGGGCACTGTTAGCGTCTCAGAACACATCCTCTGTAGGTTCAGGGATCCAACAAAGCGCTAGCTTGGATACAAGGAAAATAAAGCCCACATATTCCCTCTACACAAAAGCTTATGCACACTCATAAATGAAAAGTGAGTCTAGCAAGTTTTTTCCTTTGCTTATTTGCTTATATTCTGCTTATTTGGTGAACCTTTATTTTATTTTATTTTATTTTATTTTATTTTATTTTATTTTATTTTATTTTATTTTGGTTTCTTTGTGTACCTCTGGCTGGCCTGGAACTAGCTGGCCTCAAACTCCTAAAGCTCTGTCTGCCTCTGCCTCCCAAATGCTGTGATGAAAGGCATGCGCCTTTATGATTAGGGATGGATTTTCGTTTGGTTTGGTTCTGCCTTTTAATGTTCTCTTCATACTGGGAACTGAATCCAGAGCCAGGACTTGGGACACACTAGGCAAGCCTCTACACCTAGGCTGTATACCCACCTGACTTTTTCTTGTTTCTTTTTTTGAGACAACAGTCTCATTTAGCCTAGGCTAGCCTCAAGCCCACTATATATAATTGAAAATAACCTTGAACTTCTGATCTCCTCGTGCCCACTTTCATCACTATGATTTTATTTAGTGCTGTAAATCAAACCCAGAGCTTTGTGCCGCTAAGCAAATACTCTACCAAATAAACTGTATCCCTGGCCCAGTGTGTGTGTGTGCTTGTGTGTGTGTATGTGTGTTTGAGTGAGTGTGTATGTGTGTGTTCGTGTGTATGCATGTATGTGTGCTTGTACATGAGTATGCATGTTTGTGTGTGTGCATGTACATGTGTATGCATGTATGAGTGTGTGTGAGAGTATGTGTGCTGTGTGTATGCACGTGTGTGTATGCACGTGTGCATGTGTGTACATGTGTGTGAGTGTGTGCGCATGTGTCTGTATATGTACACATTTGTCTGTATGTGCATATGCATTTATCTGTACATGTTTATATGTGTGTGTTGTGTGCATGTTTACATACTGTGTGTGTGTGTTTGTGTGTGTGTGTACATGACTGTCTGGTTGATGTCAGGGGCTTTCCTCCACCTTGGTCTTGATACAGGTTCTCTCACAGAACCTGGCTGGACAGCAAATCCCAGGGATTCTTCTTGTCTCCGTGTTTCTATCATGTGCCTGTCCACTCATGTGGGTTCTGAGGACTCAACTCAGACCAAGCAGGCGCTTCTCCAACAGAACCATCACTCTACCACTATGCTTTCAAAAGAAAAACAAGAGAGGGGCCAGAGAGAGAGCAGGCTCAGCAGCTTTAAGCACTTGTTCTTGGAAAAAAAGAACCAAGTTTGATTCCCAGCATCTATGTGGCAGCTTACAACTATCTGCAAAGCCAATTCCAGAGCATCCAACTCCCTCTTAGGGTCTCCGAAGGCACCAGGCCCATAGATGATGCTTTTTTTTTTAATTTTTTAAAGAGAAAAGATTAAACTAGGCTCTAATCTCAGCATTTAAAGTGTTTGGAATAAGTTTGAGGGTAGATTAGGCTATATGAGACTTGCGGGGAGGAGGGGGTAACTCATGAATCTACTCTTCTAATTTTGAAACTGGACAATGTTCTAGAAGGCTGAAACTTTGCATCACTTCTGGATCTCTAGTGGGCAGTAAACGGGCCTAAAACCTGTGGAAGACCTGTTTGTGGGACCTAGAAAGATGACTTTGAACAGTGAGACTTCTCAGTGAGACTCGTGCTGGGGCCCCGGGATGTGCACTCACCTTCAGACTCTGGTACAGGTTCCCCACTGGTGATCCAGGCGTTGGCTTTGGGATCTAAGGCAGAAAGGGAAGTTCAGGGCCAGGAATCCACACAGATGCACGTACCCACACACGCATGCGCACTCGCTACCCTGCAACATCAAGCTCCCTTCTTTACTGCTAATCTCCTGGTTGTGTTAAGAACCTAGCTGAGCTCTCACATCTTTGTAGGATTTTTGTTTGATTGGTTTGGGTTTTTGTTTTGTTTTGTTTTGTTTTTTGTTTTGTTTTTTGTTTTGTTTTTGTTGATTTTTTCTTTCACCTTAGTATGGCTGAACTACTTAAGGTGCAAGGTTCTATCCAAATGCAAATTCTCCTTGGTGAACCGCGACCAGCCTAACAATGTTTAGAGGACTGGTCATATCTTATCCTTTTTTGGGACAAGGCTAAGGCTTTTGCTCATTTTCGTGTTTCCGGTGTCCTGGCCATGGGCTGATGGCATACTGAGAATAAAAGAATGAACGGTTCTATCAGAGCCACTAGACAGGTGAGTGAAGTCACCTGGAACATTGTCTCCATGCCACACTCAGTATTGGGGCCCCAAGGATTGTCTCACCCAGCAGCTCAATGGCTTTCGTGGTCCCGTACACATCCATCACTGCCCAGAGCGGGGCGCCCTGGACCAGCACGTCTTTGCGCAGCAAGAGGGGGCGGCCAGCATTGACCTTGGCGAAGAGCCAGCCTCTACGATTCACCCAGAAGCAGACCACATTCCCCGCGCGAACGAAGCCCTCTGGAAGCAACGCTGCCCACGTGGGACTCTGCTCCTCCAGGTCCGGGCACACGAAGGGTGGCAGGCAGGACGCAGCCACTTGCGCGGGGTCCAGGCGCGTGAAGCCCACGCGGAGGCCACCACACCAACCATCTTCATGTCGCAGCACACGCAGCGCTACACGCTCACCGGGCCATACAGGACGCTGGCTGAATACAATACCGTCGTGGAACGTGGAGCGCCTGCGCGCTGTGCTCCGCTGGTCATCCAGATGCACCTGTGCTCCCGTGGCGTCCCCGTGAAAACTAAGGGCCTCGCGGGGCACCTCGGCATCTGTGGAGCAGAGTGGGGAACCAGTCAGTGAGGGCCCATTCTAACCCACCGGCTCTCTAGGAAACACCCAGGACCCTTGGCCACCCTAGCCTCCTTCACCACCTCCTTCAGCACCATTCAAACCATCCCACAAACTCATCTCACAAACTCCCGGGATCTGCTTAAAGCCTGTTGGGCAGCGCACTCTACCTGCCTGGGTCTGTTAACCTCCCCTGACCTCAGTTTCCTACTTCTGGCTAGTATGAAAATTGCAAGAACCTACATGTGTACCAAGCCCTGTCTAAACACACTCCTGAGACGTCGTTATTACTGGGATCTAATAAAAAAGCAACTTGCTTGTGTTGTGGTGCTGTAATCCCAGCACTGAGAAGGTGATGGCAAGTTCCAGGACTGCCTAGGCTACAGAAGGGGTTCCAGGCTAAGCCAGCCTGAGCTACATAGACAGTGAACTCTTGGTAAACAAAATGAAATCAAAGACTTAGACATATGAACTTGGATGAGTTTATTGTTTTTATTTTATTTTTTAACATGTACTTCTTTATTGAGTGCACAAGTTCCGGGATGCATGGGTGGAGGTCAGAGGACAACTTGCAGGAGCCAGTTCTCCCCTTCTACCTTGTGGTTTGGGGGATTGAACTATATAGTCCTTCAGCTTGTCGGCAAGTGCCTTTACTAGCTGAGCCACTCTGCCAGCCCCTGGATGAAGTGTAATGCCCATGTACCCTCAAGTGCCTAGTCTGGAGGAGCTGGGTCAGCTGGCTTGCTGACTTGTGCATGCCTTGCAGGTGGGCCACAATAGCCCTGCTTTCCTCTCTGCTGCTCTGACCTCCTTCTCCCATAGGTGAGCTGGATCAGCCCTCTCCCACTGAAGGTGACTAACTGATCCCGGAAGAGATGACACAGCAGTTTCCCATAGGACAGGGGTGCAAGCTGAGAACAGGAGATGCCTGTGTGCCCCCAAGGCCTGAAGTGAGCTTTGGAACCAAGGGACTTCTGAAAAGCACTTGGCATCCAGGAAGGAACATTGCCTGCTGGGCAGCCGTCTTAGCCCTGACTGGGAGAGAGCTGGAGTTTCCTGTCCTGGTTGATCAGATCACAGAGATCTGTCTTTCCTCTTTAAGGGGTTGGGGCGGGGTGAGAGAAGGAAGCTGAAAGAGAAAGATGAACTCAATCTGAACTTGAGCCAGACTCCAGAGAAATCCCATCCCCCACCAGCTGACTGACCCCTGTTCCACTTGCAGACCACAAGCCTACCTGCAGAGCCAGACATAGAACTGTGAGGTCCCAGTGCTATGGTCCAAGCCCTTCCCAGCACTCAGCTGGGTAATAGCCACCACTGATGTGAAGGTCTCAAGTGAAGCTATGGTAAGGGGCTTGAGCAATGACTCTGGACAAGAGCAGATGCTGGAAACAAGTCCTTGCAACCCTGCTGGTCCACGGCAAAAGCAGAAATAAGGCCAAGCTGGCACCCCGGCCTCATCCACTACAGCCTCCATGGAAAGGGTTAAGATCTCCTCCGGGTCTGGGAACTTTGAACTGCTCATCTTAAAATGGTGGCCACTGCTCCCTGGCTGCGGGCAGGGTGTTCATCTGGCCACATTCCATCTCCAGGAGGACAGAGACTGGAAGGATTGCTCTGGGAGAGAGAAGTTCAGTTTGCTGCCCCCATCCACTTCCCAGATGAGAGGCAGGAGTCTGGTTAATGGGATGTCAGGTCAGATGGCTGATGGGATATCAGTTCAGAAGGAGGCAAACTGCCCCAGGAATGGCCTCTGAGGGCACAAGAGTCCCAGGAAAAGAAAGCCTTGGCCTGGTTAGCAGCTTGAGTGGGCAAAGCTCCATCCCCACTTAGGAGCCTTCCCAGGGATCTTTGCAAGCTGGGACACGCTGCCACCTCCATAGGTCCCTAGGTGAGCAGAACACTTGAACCACCTTCTCTCTTCTGTATGCTCAGGCCTTGTGTCCCTACATCCAGTGGCCTCTGGGCAACTCCCTGGGTGCGGCTCCCAGGAAGTACCACCACTGGCAAGCCACAAGGGGCCTCTTGAGCCCTAGCCTTGCTACACACAGTCTCTCATGGCTTGTTTGGTTATTCACTGCACACGACCCAGATGGCATAGGGCTGAAGGCCACCCTTACCCTGCCAGTCTCTCAAAGACCTTCAGGACTTTGTCCCCCACAGGAGCCCCACCTTTCCTTACCGAGCACTGCTTCCTGGCTTCAGAGCTAGGTCACAGTGGCACGAAAGGGGTTGACGCCTTTCTTCTGTCTTGTTCCTTCCACAAAGACTTGCAAGAATATTCTCACCCTTTGACTGAGCAACCTGACAGATCCCACTGCTGGGTTGGGCCATGGCAGAGGTTGGCGCATGCTAAACATGGCTCTCTAATCAGGTCTGTCCTGGTTTGCAGGGTTGGCACAGGGTTCAGAGCATTCTCTACCAAGAGCTAGAGAATTCCTGTTCTGGGCCCCATTTCCAGGCCAGATCCCTGAGATACCATAGAACAGGGAGGTGGGGCCTTCTCCAGTGACTCTACCTTTGTGCTACCCACTGATGTAGGCTGGCCTGGGTCTAAACGGCTAGGAAGTTGGGGACACGCAAGCCATGTCCGTAGGGTCATCTCCAGCCCTGGGCAGATGAAGACAGATTATAGTCTCTGCTGCAAGGCTCTGGGGATTTTACAGATGGATGCTCAGCCACCTGTTTCATGAAGGCCTCCCAACTGTCAGGATGCCAGGCACCCAGTCAGTCCTTTTCTCCTTTCTGCATCCCATTCAAAAACACTCAGAGCTTGGGGAAGCTCAGGAAAGGTCCCTTCCTGGTTCCTCCCAGCCCCCAAGGAGCTTGTGGGCTCAGCTACACAGTCTCAGCCCCCCCCCCCCACACACACACACACCAACCCGCACCTGTTACACTTCATCCCTTTTGGCATTGTTACTGCCCTGCCTTGAATCCAAACACAGCTGCCTCCGCAGAGGTAGCTCTGGGCGTGGCCACCCACTGTGAGTGAGCCTTGGGTGCTTGCCACGGGGCCCCACGCAGGGGCGCTGATTGGCTTGGGGGGGGGCAGGTCTAGAGAGCCCCGTCCCAGTCTCTGTTCTAAGGCGTGAAATGCTATGTCCTGTCCACTCACCCAGGTCCCTCTGCTAAGGGAAACGTGACCAGAGGAACAGGTGAGTGTCTCAGAGAAACTTCCTATCTCATTACTATTTAGATGCCTACATTTGGAGCCCTAAAGGACAGCAGGGTGGTGGCACTGTCCCAGCCTTCACATGAGAAAAACCAAGAGCCCAGGGACAAAATGATTTGCCCACGGTGCCACCGATAATTTGGTAAAGCTGAAGTCCCTCGTTTACCCACAGGGCCTTCTAAGCTCTTCCCTTTTCCCCACCCCAGCCTTGATTCTCCCTTATCTGCTTCCTAGATAAAGACTGCTTACGGGTAGTGGGTGGGGAAGAAGGGGTGTGTATCTTGGCAGCCATGTTGGACCTGAGACACCCAGTCTCTGCTGGGTTCCTGGGAAGACCGGAAGCTCGCTCTCTCATGCAGCCCAGACCATGGAAAACACGACTCTAGGAGCCAATGATGTCCCCGCTCTCCCTCTTCCAGACCTCCCACTCCTTGCAGTCAGGACTCAGAAGCCAGCTCAAACCATACCGGAAATCTACTTACTGGCCTCAGGGCTGAGGCGAGAACCCATTAGCCTGGGCTCCTCCTGGGGCACAAGTCCCTGGGTCTGGAGATGTCTGTGAAGGCCAGTGGTCAGGGTTACAAGACTCTGAAGGTTCTCCTTTTATAGGCTGGAGATCACGTTACAGAGTTGATGATTAATTAGATGCTGTCACGCATGACGATATCCGGGACTTTCCCCATGACCTCTCGTGGCTCACAGTGGACTGCTGCAGCAGCCTGGCCTGAGAAAAGAAAGGAAGCAGGGGCTGGGACTGCGGCTGCAGCAGACGGTTCTTTCTGTTTGACTTCTAAGCAGCCCCTGTCTGAATTATAATCGCATGTTAGTAAACACCCGTGCCCCCACCACCACCACTCCCCTCAGGAACTCCACCTTCTTCTATAAAGACTCTAGTAGCTCTGGTCTGGGGTGAGATCTGCACATCTGGAGTTTCAAAGAGCATGCGGGAACTTCGATATGCAGCCGGCATGGAGACCAACCCCACATACAGAAGGTGTGTCCCGTTGCTGAATCCTAGGACCTGTGAAGTTGAGCCTGCCCAGTGGCAAGGTTGGTTTGAAGGCTTACAAAAACCCCCCACCCCTCGCCAGACTAACTCTTTCTTGAGACTCCAGATCTAGGCTACAATTAGTGACTTCTTTGGACCCTTTAAGAAAGGAATAGTCCTAGGCATGTCCCTGGGGCACCTGGAAATGGCTAGACAGGATTTGGGGGTTGACTGAGGAGGAAATAGAGGGCTGAAGACCCAGGTTGTACCCACTGTATTACCTTATGCAGAGCCCTTCCTCTTCTTCAGGTCTGATGTTCTGCTCTGGAGACTTCCTCCAGCCGGCATGCCGTGCCTAAGTGAGAAGTGGCCAGAGGAAGGTGGGTGTCATCAGCGGAGCCCTGGTTACCTCAGACGTTGCTGTAACCCCTGGACTTTCATTTTCCGGCCACACCCTTGCTGAGCGCCCTTTGTCTCTGCACTAGATGTATAACTTCTGCCAAGGCCACAGGTAGCTGCTCTGGAGCCAGTACCAGTCCCTTGGGCCTGAGACCTGTGGATCCTAAAGGTTGCAGTTTGCCCAATGTCCCAGCTGGCTCAGTCTAAAAGGCTCAGGCTCCTGGTACCTCCTGGCAGGCAAACCAGTCTCTGGGCAGTTCTAGATGCTCCTCCCTCGCTGGGCTTTACCTGGCTGCCTTGAGTGGCTGCCCAGGGCTGGAGCCAAGAGATCCTTGTTGATTATCTGCATTCCCCTAATAGAGGTATGTGGGCACCTGATCAAGGTGCCTGCTCTGCAGCTTTAGACTTTATAGAAAATGGGCTAGCTGCAGACCAGCAGGCAGCTGGTATGGCTCCCAGACAGGACCTGTAGCCTGCTCAGGCCAGCAAACAGCAGATGGAAAAAGCAAGGCCACAGACACCCGCATCCAAATGAATTTAGCTACCCCACTGATGGGGTTCGGGGTATGCCATTCTAAACAGGCTCCCTACATTTGGGAGGTAGCATAAACGGAAGGCCCCTGTCTTCTACCCTCACCTTTCTCCTATGAAGCCAGCCCTGAGTCTCTCATGCTATGATCTACTGACATCAGGGCAGGGGAGGACCGGAACAGACTGTGCCTGCTAGGCCCTGCCCTGCTCAGCACTGTTCATTGACACTCACCTCTGCCCCAGTATCCTCACTATAATAGGATTTACAGTCACTTGTGGGCTCAACTTCAAGCCACAGTACGAACATACAGACAGACCTCTCATTTCTCTGGGTCTTCCTGTTTTTGAAACATGGTCCCAGCTAGCCCAGCCTTGCCATGACCTTAAACCCTCAATCCTCCTGCCTCTACTCTTTAATGCTGGTGAGATGGCTCTTACCTGCTGCTAAGCTTGACCCAGGGACACACATGGTGAGTGGAGAAGCCTGACAGCTGCCCTCTGACCTTTACACATGTGTCATGGCATGTGTATGTCCACACTCACAAAAATAAATCATACACACACACACCACACATATACCATATACACCACACACATCTATACACACACACACACACACACACACACACACAGACAAACTTCATGCCTGCCAGGCAAGCACCCTGCCAACTTAGCTACATCCCCAGCCCTATGTCATTTTCTTCCTTTGAAAATACTTTTGTCTCGAAAAACCAAACAAAAATAAATAAATACTTTTAAGTTTTATTCTTTGACAGTCTCATACATGTATATGATTGGTTTTCGATCTTAAATTTTATTCTTATTATTTTAATCATGTATACTGTATGTGTCTGTGTGTAGCTCTGTGCCCCTGAGTGTGGGAGTCCTAGTCATATGTATTGTATGTGTCTGTATGTAGCTATGTGCCCTTGAGTGTGCCAGTCCTTGGAAGCCAGGAGCTTTGGATTGTCTTGAAGCTGGACATACAGGCAGTTGTGAGCGCTGACAGCTTGGGCCCTCTGGAGGACCAGAGAGTGCTCTAAATCACCAAACCATTTCTGTAACAACCCTGTTCCTCTTGTCCCCTCCTACCCCATCTGGACTCGTTCATCTCCCTAACAGGTCCCTCCCCAACTTCTATTCCTTTTTTGTTTGTCCACTTTTTATGGCCCACTGAGTTTAGTTACGCTTGCCCGAAGACATAAGCATGTGTGCGGGGTTACTGAATGGCTCACAGGCAACTATCTAGTGGTTACACCCTGAACAAAGATGACTCTCCCCTCCCTCAGCAGTCCGTAACTACCAAGAACCTCTCCACTGGGGTGGATCTGTGTCTGCCCCTCCCCCATCTAGGTTTTTATTTCTGGAAGGCTCTAGGTATCATAAAATTCACATCCATACTAAATGAATGTGCTTTACAACAGAGGTGCCTGAGAAGTCCTCACACCAGCCAAGTTGTGCAATCAGCCAAGGTGCACATCAGCAGATAAGGGAAATGCATGTTCATGTGTGTGTATGTGTGTGTGTGTGCGTGCAATACAGTTTTACTCAGCCATAAAGAATGGAAGTTATGTCATTTGCAGGGAAACGGTCAGAGCTGGAGATTGTCATGTTAAGTGAAATAAGCCAGACTCAGAAAGACAATTGTCATCAATTTCCTCTCCTATACAGAATGCAAATTTAAGAAAATAAGGCATGTACTACTAGGAGATGTGTCACTTACCCAGATAGAGTGCTTACCCAGCATGCTCTAGGTCCAGGTTCAACCCCTGGTAGTGGTGAAAGAAGGAAGGACAAGGGACTCTTTGTGGGTGATGCTTTGTTGTCTTGAGACAGATTTCACGCTTTATCCTAGGCTGGTTTGAAATTCAGAGTAATCCCTCTGCCTCAGTCTCCAAAGTTCTGGGGTCACAGGTATGAGCCACCATGCTCAGCTAGAAGGAACTCTTTGGAAAGAGGAAGGGGCCCCATTGGGAGAAGGAAAGAGAAGGCAATGGGAGTTAAACACGACCAAAGCACATGACAGATGTGTGTGTTGACAGCATGAGGAACCCACTGCTTTGTACAGTGACTATACACTAATCAGAAATGTGTGCACCTCCTCTGTCTGTCTGTCTGTCTTATGTACCGAGGGGTCCTAGCCATGACCCTTGTGAGGGGAAGGACAGAGAATATTCTCCTAGACATTGTTGTCAAAGTCCAGTACTGTACTAACCCAATAGTCCTCAAGGAAAGTCCTCAGAAAGGGTCTATCTGTAACCACTCTCATTTCACAGAAGGGGAAACCGAGGCACATAAAGCACACAAACAGTTCCAAGAAGATGGCTAAGTGGGTGAAGGTGCTAGCTTGCCACAGGATCCTGGCAACCTGACTGTGATCTCCAGAACTCACACAAAGGTAGAAGGAAAGAACCAATTCCAGAAGTTCAGAAGTTGTCCTCTGACCTACACACCCATACACATAAAAAAAAAAAATCTGCCCTCTCTGCCATGTGGCTTTGCCCTCTTTGATGCCTCACTAGGTTAGCTGACTGGGCTGGCACATAGTAGGAATTTTATAAATAGTCTCTTCTAGGTCGACTGAGTGCCCACGGGATGCTCTATGTGCTATCACCACAACAAAGCTGGTGCCTTGGAAGGCGTGTTACCAGGACAGGTCAGGCTCTGTAAGACGGGTACAACAGGCCAGCCTAAGGAACTGCAGCAGTAACCGGCTCGCCCTCTGCTGGCTATAGTTAGTACTACAGGATGCAATTGAGGCCCTGTGAGCCTGCAATTGCCAGAGAAGCTTTGAAGGCCTCCACACCTCCTCCTATCATCCCAAAACTCCCCCATGTCCCTACTACTCAGATCCTGCTTGTCACCTCATGGGGCCCCCTCAGTGGCAGTCTTTATCATTACATAGTGCTCTTGTGTGGACCACCTCATAGATGCCTCCTTCTCTGTGAAGCTGCAGACTGCTTGGGGACCGGGGACAGGCTGTGGTCCAGGTCCAGCATAGGCAGGAGTCCTGCCTGAACTGGGATACTGGTGAGCAGCCCAACCATCAGTGTCCTAGGATCCCTACTGTGTTATACTAACAAACCCTCACCTACAGGCGGTGGCCCCTGCCCAGATGTTACCTCAAGAAATGGAGGGGGTCTGCAGTGACAGAATGCTAGCTTCAGGAACAGCCCAGGCCACAGTCGGGGCTAGGAAGGATTTTCCAGGTGCCAACAGGGCAGCACAACAGCCTCTTTGCTGGTGACCTACCAAGAGCCTTAGATGGTAAAGGTATTTGCAATCATGCCTCATGACTTGAATCCAATCCCTGAAACACATAGTAGAAGAGGAGAGCCCGGTTGTGGTGGTTTGAATATGCTTGGCCCAGGGAGCAGCACTATTAGGACGTGTGGCCTTGTTGGAAGAAGCGTATCACTGTGGGGCTAGGCTTTGAGACCCTCCTTCTAACCATGTGGGAGTCAGTCTTCTCCTAGCAGCCTTCAGATCAAGATGTAGAACTCTCAGTTCTGCCTGCAACCATACCTGCCTGGATGCTGCCATGCTCCCTCCTTGATGATAATGGACTGAACCTCTGAACCTGTGAGCCAGCCCCAATTGAATGTTGTCCTTATAAGAGTTGCGTTGGTCATGATGTCTGCTCACAGCAGGAAAACCCTAAGACACAGCTCTTACATGTTATCCTCTGAGCTCCACATTTGCACCATGACAAACCACACCCCCCCACACACACACATGAAATAAAAAAATAAATATGAAAATGGACCATCTGCAGCCTTGGCATGGTGGTACATTCCCATAATCCAAACAGGCAGGGGAATCAAGAGTTCAAGGCCAGCTTGACCTTGTCTCATAAAATAGAGGAATTACATCTTTAGAGAACACATACAGGCTTGTCCCTAAACAATACAGTCCAACAACTATTTTCATATCATTTATGTAGCATTGGGTATTCTAAAGCCCTTACACATGCTTTATAGCTTACCCTTTTCCCCTGGATATTAAGATACATATGTTAAATTTAAGAACTAGGGCCAGGGTTATGGCTCAGTTGGTAAAGTATTTGGCTAGCATGCACAAAGCCCTAGGTTCTACTCCAGCAGTGCATAAATCGGACATGGGAGTGTGTATCTGTGACCCTAGCCCTCCGGAAATAGACACAGGAGGCTTAGAAGCCAAGGACATCATGAGCTACATACCAATTTGAGACCAACCTGAGCTACAGGAGATTTTATTTCAAAAAGAAAAAATAAGCTGTAAGTAATGCCCATTGTTGAGCATCATCGGTTGTGGTACCCACATGGGCCCTAGAAATAGTCTCCATGGATACCAAAAGATCACTGTACTATTATACAAAACACTGTTTATTGCCTCAAGGCTGTGGAGTAAATGTAAGGGAAGACCCAGAACATCACACACACATGCCTCCATGTGCATACTGCTAAACACATGTGTGAACATACATGCCGCAAGCACACACACATGCACTTCTATTCACACAAAGTTTAGGCACAACCATTCTAATGCAAAAGTCAGGACTGGGCCTCTCTAGAAGTATAGGACTGGAGAAATACCTTAAAGAACTGGTTTGGTTGTTAGGTAGTTGTGTGCACAGACAGAAAGCACCACCACTTGGATTCTCAAAGGGCATATAATGTGAACCTACCTACATTGGCTTACTTTCTTTCCAGTCTGAAATTCTTCTGAATGAACTCAGGGAAGCCATGGGAAGAACTTGGTCAGCACTGCCCCCTGGTGGTGAGGAGAGAGACTGTTGACCTGGTACCCAGGAAGGAAAGAGTCCTGTTACCAGAGCCCCAAAGGTTCCTAGGTACTAGGTCTCAGTCACCAACTCTGCTTGTTCATGGGCATTCTAACAACTCTGGGGGTCCACCGAGTCCTCCAAGTCACTACTATAAGTCCTCAGGCATGTGTCAATTGGCTGTTACTGGTAGTGGGGCCAGGTGGGGGAGGCCAAAGCATCCTGACTGGTGCAGGGCTAGAGACCAGCTCAACAGTGTAGAGCACTTACTGCCCTTATAGAGGACCCAGGTTAGGTCCCTATGGCGGCACACTACCGTCTATAACTCCAGTTGTTAGAGATCCAACACCCTCTTCTGGCCTCCCTGGGTTCTAAGCATGCACATAAGTCCACAGACATGCATGCGAGTAAAACATTCATATATGTAAAATAAAAGAAAACATCTTTGTACTTGACACAAGCTGGAGTTATCACAGAGAAAGGAGCCTCCCTTGAGGAAATGCCTCCATGAGATCCAGCTGTAAGGCATTTTCTCAGTTAGTGATCAAGGTGGGAGGGCCCAGCCCATTGTAGATGGGGCCATCCCTGGGCTGGTAGTCCTGGGTTCTATAAGAAAGCAAGCTGAGCAAGCCAGGGGAAGCACCAGTCAGTAACATCCCTCCATGGCTTCTGCATCAGCTCCTGCTTCCTGACCTCCTTGAGTTCCTGTCCTGACTTCCTTTGGTGATGAACAGCAATGTGGAAGTGTAAGCTGAATAAGTTGCTTCTTGGTCATGGTGTTTGTGCAGAAATAGAAACCCTGACTAAGACAGTCTGGTTGTGTTTGTTTGTTTGTTTTTTGGTGGGTTTTTTTGGTTTGTTTTTTTCTTTTCTTTTCTTTTCTTTTTCTTTCTCTTTCTTCCTTCCTTCCTTCTTTCCTTCCTTCTTTCCTTCCTTCTTTCCTTCCTCCCTTTCTTTCTTTCTTTCTTTCTTTCTTTCTTTCTTTCTTTCTTTTTTTTTAAGT